AAATGAGCCTTTGTTGGTAATTGGATCCCATTTTACCCAAAGACTCCAAACCAATCCCAACATTTATCAGCCACCAGAACAGCAACATGTGCTTTCTTTGACAACCAAAAAGGGAACATAACCCTCTTTTTCAAAGTCCACGTTTGTGCATTCACGTGCATATAAAGTGTCTACTAAGCCCATAAACTGCACTATAGGAGTAGCAGGGCATATTGTCACATAGTCATACAAAGAACATAGGTGTGGCATTTCAATCTAGTTCTTACCCACCTAAGCAGAGTGCTCACACATGTGCAAGGGAGACAGGAACTGAGAGAAAGAGCAGGAATGTGAAGCGATGCACACAATGCAGCTGAGCAGGAAGTTTGACCTAGCTCGTCTTATCTGGGTTGGGCACAGCCTGTATATCGCCGATGCCCTCGCTTCCCCATTCCCTACCTCTTCCTGCTCACTGGCCTCAAGGGACTGTATATAAAAGATACCTGGACGGCATCAGAATCCACTTAGCTGCCGACTTCCAGGCAGCAGCTCACCCTCACGCTCAGGTCTCCCGGCTCTGGAAACAGCTCTAGCGCAGTCTCCACCATGAGCCTCGGACCCAACGCCATCGCCTCCTGTCCCAGTGCCAGACCACTGCGCATCCCGCAGGTGTTGCTGCTGCTGTCACTGTTCCTGACCACTGTAGTTCCCACCTACGTCAGAGAAGGTAAGAGCAGGTTGGGAAAGCTGAAGGCGGAGGCCCTGCTTCCCTGCAGCCGTGGCTGCTTCTGCTGTAGCCGTGTCTGGGGGAGACTATCTTGGAGCTCCTGGGGCTGGGGAAGCCCATGTCCTGACAAGTCTAAATGGAGGAGGCAGCTTAGTGGGCACGTCCCATGTGCCAGGCGTCCTGCTCGGGACTTCACTAAAGGTTTACAGACCACATTCACAATGGCCTTATGAGAGGTACATTACCCTCGCCTTACCAGTAAGGAAAGTGAGGAAATAACCATGAGCAGTAGTGGAATCATGTTTTGTACCCTGGGTGAATTTGTAGATGTTGAGCCGTACCTTGAACTGCGCTGCACGTGTGTGAAGACAGTCTCTGAAATTCATCCCAAGAACATCCAGAATTTGGAGATTATCAATCCAGGAGCCCACTGCAGCAATGTGGAAGTGATGTAAGCCCCTGCTTGTGTGTTATCGCCTCCTTAGGGAAGCCCGCCACCTCCGTCCAGCACCTCCACTGTTTTCTCCTGACTCACATATCTGTTCTGATATTCACCAGGACACACACAGATAATTCTGTTCTCTCTTGCAGAGCCACGCTGAAGAATGGAAGGAAGATCTGCCTGAACCCAGAAGCTCCAATGATCAAGAAAATAGTCCAGAAAATGATGAAAGGTGACGGATCAGCAGCTTAACCTGTTCACTCTCTGCCAAATCTTTTCACCTTCCAGCAAGGGCAGGAGTTTGAAGTCTTGACTGTCTGGAGTTCTTAATTTATCCAGGATACCCACTCTTACTATATTAAAGTTTGGGTGTGTTTTCCATTCTGTGTTAAAAATCACATTTTATTCTGAGAAGGCTGGTTAAAAGATGACAGAAAGAATATGAGAATAAGCAAACCTAGTTTCAACGACTAATATATGAGTTACTGCCTAATTCTTGGATAAACCTTGTACAGTGCTTTGCATTTCTTTATTTGAAAATTCCTTTCCAAACACATTGATGTTAAATGTCTTGCTCTACTTTCCTGTTAGATTAGACATGCCCATGATGATTAGCAGATTTCATAATGGTCAATGACACTAGGAATCACACAGAGCCCAGCATAGAGTAATTGCTCAATAGATATTTGTTGTCATATTTAGGGACTTCATAGAGTTCTTCAAGGTCTTAGTCGTTGTATGTCTTGCTTCAAAGCATTCTCTGGAAAGTTTTTCTAATGTTAATTTTAGCCTCCAAACTCTAAAAATAATAAAGTTGTAGATTGTGAGTCTTGTCAGTCGTGGTTATTTCCTTTAAAGTGAATATATTTAACACTAGTAGAACAAAAATATATCATGAAAAAGCATTAACATATTCCATTAAGAAAAACTCCAGTACTTTCTACACTAATAAAGAAAGAGCAACTTGCTTTTAAATGCATTCTCTGGAAAGTTTTTCTAATGTTAATTTTA